AAAAATACAATCAGGTGATATATTGGCAGGACTATGTCGGGCATGGTAGCATATGCCTACAATCCCAGAACTCAGGAGACTGAGGCAGGGAGATCACTGTGTGTTTGAGGCCAGCCTGTGAGTTTGAGGCCAGCCTGAACCAAATAGCATGACCCTAGAGGGAGGAAAGGAGGGAGGGAGAGACAGAGACACAGAGAGACAGAGAGAGAGAGACAGACGGACACACAGACAGACAGACAGATACACACACAGAGAAAATTAGTTTTTTTTGTAGTGTAAAGATGGACTTGAAAGGTCATTTCATAGGAGAAAATAGTGTGGTAGTAGAGTATAGTTCATAGAAACTGTGTAGTGAGTTAATCAGCATGAAAATATTAGATAATTTTATTTTTTATTTCTATTTTATTTCCATTTTTTAAAGAGTACAAATTAGAAGTAAAATGGAAAAAATGTAAGTGATACAGAGTTTCACTTAAGGATGTAATATGAATTTCACAGTATTTGTTGTAATAGAGTGTTGTCTTCTAACCAGTTAATCATATTACCAGATACATACACGTAAAATTGGAAGGATGAAGAAAAAAAAGGCAGAAATGTGTAAGGAATTAAGAAGAGAAAACAATTGAAAAAAGGAGATGAAACAAATTAAGCATTAACTGCTCCTTTCCATAGACAAGCAAAAATGCACAGTACAGTTGTCCAGATTATCCTGCTTACATACATAGATAAATCGCTGTCCCACACCCCTCTCCTTTCCTTCTCCACGCAGTAATGCTTTCCTTTTGAATAAGTTCATTCCCTATTTCCCCGTATCTATGGTACCCTTCAGATTCCGTTTGTCTTTTTCATATTCTCACACGAAGGAGACAATATGATGTTTGCACATGTAAGTGTAATTTATTGCACTTAAGAGTATGTTCTTGGGCCCGGGGAGATGGCTCAGTGGAATAAGCCCTTCCCTGGCAAGTGCAAGGGCCTGAGTTCAATCCCCGGTTCTGCAAAAAACAAAAACAAAAACAAAAAAACAAAAAACCAAGAGTATGTTCTTTAGTTGCATCCATTTATCGACAAAAGACTGAAATTTTTCCTGTTTTATAGCTGAATAATATTCCATTATGTAAAAATACCACATATTCTTTAGCCATTATTCAGCTGATGAGCATTTGGGTTGTTTCCATGATTTAGCTATGACAAATTGTGCTGGTATACACATGGGTGAACAAATATCACTGTGGTATGAGGTCTTCAGTTCTTCTGGAAAAATACCCAGGAGAGGAATAGCTGGCTTGAATGGGATTGCCAGTCCTAGCCTTTTAAGGAATCTTCACACTGATTTCCATAGTGATTATACCAGTATGCACTACCACCAACAGTGCAGAAGTGTTTCTTTTTCTCCACAGCTGCTCCAGCATTTGTTATTGGCTGACTTCTTGATGTTAGTCATTCTTACTAGGGTGAGATGGAATCTCAGTGTTGTTTTAACTTGCATTTCTTGAATGACCAATGATGTTGAACCTTTTTACATGTATTTACTTGCTATTTGTATTTCTTTCTCAGAGAAGTGTATATTCATCTCAGATGCCCATTTTTGGATTGGGTCTTTGAACTTGGGGGACCGGATTTTTTTATTTTTTTATATATTCTAGGTAGAAGACCTTCATCAGAGGGACAGTTAGTCATAATGTTTTCCAAGTTTGTGGGTTTTCTTTCTACATTGTTGGAGATTTGCTTTGAAGTACAGAAACTTTTCAAAAAGATGAGATCCCAGTTGTTGATTCTTTGAAATATTTACTGTGCAAGTTAATTTTTGTTCATGAGTTCTCTACCTACCACTAAGTCTTTAAGATTTCTATCTATATATTCCTCCAGAAGATTTAGTGTTTCTTTTTTAATATTTAAATCTTTGTTCTATTTTGATGGTAGCTTTGTGCATGGTGATAGGTATGTGTCTAGTTTAGCCTTTGGCATGTAGAAAGCCAGTTTTTTCAGCACCATTTATTAAAGAGGTTATCTTTTTTCCAGTGAGCCTGTTTGGCCCCTTTATCCAAGATAAAGTGGTTGAATGTGTTTGCAGTTGTGTCTTAGAAGATGCAGACACAACTGCAAACACAGTTATTTTTTTTTTGAAGTGTATCATATTGAAATTCGTTCTCTAAAGAATCAAATGTCATTGTCAGAATAATTTTTAGCATCTAATAACTATTATAAATAAGACCTAGGATGTGAAATTAAAGAGACAGAACAGATTCCATGGTCCTATCTCCCAATATTTGCAGAAAGTAAACTTGTCCCCCTCACGGCAACTGGGTAATTGTGTGTGTGTGTGTGTGTGTGTGTGTGTGTGTGTATGACAACCTTGGAAAATCTAGAATTAGCTGAAATGCAAATGTTTTTAAGTCACATTCTTAAATTTTAAGTGAGAAATATGGACTTTATAGAAAAATAAATGTGATAACTTCGAATATTTAATGAGATTTAAAAGTCCAGATTCTCATTTTACATATTACTTTGACTGGGTGCAAACTTCTTAGAAAAGTCATTTTTCTTCTCTGGGCTACTTATTTCTAGGACAAGTATAAGAATTTTTGACTAGATACTTTTTAGAACTTGTTCCTATTCTAGAATTGAAAGAACCCATCACAAATTGTCAGTAAGCAGTCTCAATGCAATAATATTGGTAAAAGTGAAAATAAAGTCTCTTTATAAAGTCATGTTATATTTTTCAGAAAATATACAAAGAAAAGTATTTTTCTATAAATTATTATCTCAAAATAATTTATTAGTTAGAATTTATGGAAATGTTTCATTCTGTATTTAAGATGCAAGACAGATCTGCTTCCATGCCTGCCAACAAGAATTGCACACACCATGTCAAGTTCCATTCAAGGTATTTGTCTCTGATTGCACAGTTTCAGTTACTTATTACTAACCCTCTTGTGGAAAACTAAGCTTTGTTTCTTTGCCAACAACTTCACTGAGAAGTCAAAACTAAAATACAAGTAGCAACTTTAACATGATTGTCCAGGTTTACAACCTTAACTATGGTGATACAATAACTACATATTTAACATCTGGATCAACTGCAGCCCAATGTTCTTTAGTTTGACAGTTTTCTAGTATGATCCATAGTATTACAAAAATAGTAAATCAAATTGTTTGGTAATTTTCAATTAGTAATTGATGATAAAGAGGTATTTCAAGTGAATTTTTGACCATTACATGATAAAGCACATACATGTACAAACACGCACACACACATACACACATAATTTATTTCCAAATGCAGATGAGAATGCTACATACTAGGATTTATGACCTGAAATTTACCTATCATCAAATTCAGGTATTATCTCAATGTTACATTATTTGTAATATTAACACCATACATGTTTTTCATCTTCACTGTATTGGTAATCTTCCATGATCATGTTCCATATTTTACGTTTTGTGAGCAGATGTGGTTATATCTGAAAGCTGAATTTTAAAACATATTTTTTGTAATCATAACCTCTCAACCTCCAAGCATCATTTAAAGAACTTGGCCTATATTCATTCAATCTCTCAAGAACTATTTTTAAAGTAGTCTCAATATTCAAGATATCGGACACTGTGGTCAAATGACACAAATAATGTTATGTAATACAGATATTCTTTCCTTTTTACTTTTTAGCATTTGTATTTATGTCTTCAGATGAAGAAGAGGGTAGAAATATTGAAAAATTAGAAATCAAGACCAAAAATTTTCTTTTAATTCACACTCTCAATGTTGGGCTCTCCTAGTGCTTCTGTCCTTGAAGGAAGTTTTATAGTTGTACTTGGTACCACGGAACATAATTTTTAAAATAATTCAGTGTTTAAAAGTTAAACTTAGTGTCAGTCTGGTAATGATTATTCACTTTAAAAAATTATATTTATGAGTGAAAAATTAATTGCTTTCAGGTATAGTTATATTTACAAAATTATCTAAAATGACACTAAAGTTTTCCCTTAAATTTTGGGTCTTCAAAAAGTCTTTGACTACTCCAAGCCTAAATCAGTAACCGAATTCCTTCTAGTACACAAATTTTAAAGTGATTATAAAATTTTACATTGTTCGCCTTTAAATTTGGTTACAACTGAACTGTCTCTCTGTCATCCCATCTAAATCACCAACTACATTTAAAAGAAGACAAAATCTAACCATATCAATTTCAGGATAATAGCACAAATGTTTATAAAATAATTATTTACTATATTTTCCATGCTAAAAGATTCACAAATATTGTTAATTATGTCTATTGCTATATTCACCTGGAAATACTATTGTCTTATTGTTACCTTAAAGAAAATTCATAGAAAATTTTATAAATAAGTGATATGCGAAAAAAATCACGCTGTGTGAAAGCATGTTTTATATTTCTCCATCTTGGTAATTATTTCTCTGTTCTTAATAAAATAGCAGATCTGGTGGAAAATGGAAATTGGAAGCAATAACTTAAGCTCTAATTCTTTTCCATGTTATATATATCCTTATGTATTTAACAGAACCTTTTAATCAGTCTTTTGTTGAATTGTATGTAGGTTCCACTTTATAAATGTCAGGATGTGGTCCATGCTTTTCTTTCTTTTCATTAGTGTCCCTCAACCATCTCTTTTGGAACAAGCACAGAATCCCATTGATATCAGAGGAAGGAGCCAGCAAAATCCTCAGAAATTTCAAGCAGCATCAGGTGAATTAAAGCACAGAGTTCCAACAGTCAAATAACATTAATGTTTAATAGTTTGTATTTCAGAAGTCAAAAAAGAAGACTTCTGCGAGAAAATGAACCAAACATGTCAGGGAATCTAAATAGGATTAGGAGAGAAGACCTTTGGGTTTAGCAATTGGGTGGTTAGTGGTGACCTTTGTGGAACAGAAAACGTTTTTTCTTAAGTTTTTTTCTTGAAATGTGTCTTAAGAAAGTACAGGGGTCAACTTTATTCAGTTTCTATCCCAGGAAAGACAAATAAGAAAAATAGTTTTAGAAAGTATTCTCCAGTAGGGAAAATATATAATTAACCTTTAGAATAATGGATAAAATAGTTATCAGTGTGTGTTTTGTTAGCTTTTTATTTAACCTCTTAAAATGTGATATAAGCAGCATATCATAAGGATTTCTTTTTATGAGCAAAACATATTTATTGGGGGAAAGAAAGCTCCTGTCTGAGAGAGGGACAGGAGGGGCACCCTGAGTGAGTGGTCTCCCCATAAGTATTTCTAAATAGTGAAAAGTGATTACCTTACTCATTGTACATAAATAAATTAATCATATAAAAGAACTTCACAAATTGTAATATGAACTTTTTTTCTGTATTTTAGGGAAGGGTCTACAAGTGTTCAGGGTCTCACTACTAGATCAGACTAGTAGTGATTCTCCTGTTTACAGTCTCCCAAGTGCTGGTATTACAGGCATATGCAACCATGTTCAGTCTCAGTTGCTTTCTCAGCACAACCCAGGGGTGGGACCTGCACCTACTTGCAGGTGCTTTCATTAGCTGAGCTATTTGGCCAGCCCAATGACATGAATTTCAAACAAGTGTCATTTTTCAAGATATGCCTTTGAGGGCATTTAACTAAATTAAAATTTTGTGATACGTGATGATAAAACAAAAATTGTACCTTAGATCATAAAATATGGCATCACCTAGTTCTAATTATCCCAGTTAAGATAAGAAAAGAACAAATGCCTGTTGGAGCCACCAAGTTATTTGTAAAAATGTGAAATATACATTGTACTAAAATTAGGAAAACACAGAAAACTAGTGTTCAAAACTGTGAACTTAAAAATCCCATTCTTCAGTGTAGGAGAATCAAGTAATGACAGAATTTATTTAATTAGTAGTGTTTTCTTGTACTGTCATCTGAGAGGTAAGATAAGCCTGAATATTTTTTTTCTCAGAATCTTCTCTTTTTTGTTCAAGTAGCACCAATTTTTGTATACTGGGCAAACAACTAAAATTTTAAGGTTTTTTCATGTTTTATTTTTGAAATAAAGTATGCACCAAAGCTGCTAAGTAGCATTGATCCAAGGAAGAGGGAGACAGAAATACCCAAATTCCTTTTCAGGATTTCACCTTTTGTTGTATATTGTACTAAATAGATACTGTGAAATTTCAACCTCCCTCTTGTAGAAAACACCTTATTATATATTTTTCTCCATGTCAGAAGGCACTGAATCAAACTTCTTACTTGGTCTACTGTCATAAGCAAAAGACTTGAGAAAATTGTTTCCCACAAAAAAATTCAATGGCAAAATCACAAATGTCAGAAGATGAAGAAATGCACTGTAGAGTATGCTTGTAATGTTCACCGGTTGCAGTAGTGTTTTAAAATGCGTGCTTTTTAGAGTGGTAATTGTCTTTCATTTGGCCATTTTGCTAAGAATACAAATAAAAGAGGAGCAAAACTATTTATCTTTAAAATCCCAATGTAAAAAAAATCATAAGCAGTGACCTGAGTATTCCTTTAGAGAAGCTTTTTGCAGGTACACTCACACAGATCCACTGACTTTTGAGCCTGATATATAATTTCACTTGGTTTTTAACTACATTTATTATTTACCAGTGAGATTAATATCAAAAGTTACACTTCTGAACTTAGTAAATGAAGATAACCACATTATGGAGTTGATCTGTCTAATGTGACAACAAATAGTAACATGAAGTTTTAAAATGAAAACCTGACAAATTAAATTTAAAAGTATATTTCCCATGTGCACTCGTAACATTTCAAGTGCTCTGGAATCATTTGTGACTAGTGGCTATGGTACTGGACAGTAAAAATACACAACATTTTCATCCATATGGAAAGCTCCATTGTGCAGGGCTATTATAGGAAGTTATAGCTTTACCAAAAAAAGGTTAAAATTTTCATCTTGTTAGTAGTTCACTCTTAATTTTACATATTTAAGGATATGTCACTAGGAGCAAATCGAAGATGGGGAGTTAAGCGTGAAGTGTCAAATCATGTAATTTTGGACTAATTATCATTTTCTAATTAATACAATTGCCTTCTTTACTGGTTATCATGTAAATCCAGTCATATTCCTAGTCCTTCATATTCTTGATACGTTCATTTTTAATTAAGTAGATCTACCTGGATACCAGTCTTGTGCACCTTTTTACACAAATAGAAATATTTAGCAAATACATATTTAATATTGGAAAAAATTCAGCCATATAGGTCTTTAGATGGAAGAAATCTTGAGTCTGCTGCTAGCTGAAATGACAGAACTTAGGATTTGGACCCCATGAATATTTACAGGTATTCTTTCCTAAATGGAATTACAGAGGTTATGAAAAAACAAGAGATTGAATTGGAGCATTACATAATGAAGGCAATCACTGTAACCACCAGTATTACTAATGTATTTTTGACATTCCATAGAATCTTCTGAGAAGAGTCCTGTGACTGGGAGGAGGTCCCAGTCATCACCGCCTTATTCTACTATTGATCAGAAGTTGCTGGTTGATATTCATGTAGGTTTCAATCTTAACACATTTGTACTTGTTCCTTTTAATTTTCATTTATGTTTTCACCTAAATTTTCTCCTCTTCACTTAAGGAGGGAAAGATTAAAGTATTTGATTTTTAATTAATCTTCTCAAGACAGATTCCTTATGTGTAAACATTCAGAATACAAAATTTAGAAGTTCATATGGAAATGGGGAAAAAAACCCACTAATCCGTCATTAATTTCACATTTTTCTAGCAATGTGAACATATTAAAGATAGGAGTAATAAGTAGATACCTGTAGAAGCTGAAGTCAAATTAAGGGAGTGAAAGTTCAATTTGAACTTTCCTATCTTCAATTTGAGTTTAATAACATTCCTTGGTTGATGAGACAATGTATAAAATGAAAATATTTAATGAAAAACAAAATGTTTTCTGATACATAAATATAAATGCCTTCAAGATCATTTTGAAGTGTGCTTTCTGATAATTTTAATTTTGTAATTGCCTTTACCAGACACATCCATGCCCAAAAGTTGCTGAATGATATATCTCATATTCAAGAAGTGAGTTTATATTAATTAGCTTTTTAGAAGTGTTTGATATTGTTTAAGATAAATTAAGCATATAAAGACAAACCTACAAAACTAACTTATAAATTACACAGGCTATGCATTAACCCCCCCATCAAGGGAAAATTTTTCACAAAAGGAAAATACCTATAGAGCATCAAATTTCTTGTTCTCTCTAGCATCAAAAGAAACTGTTAACTCCTCAGCAGACAAGTAGGGCTAATAAAAATAAGTTGAGTATATACTTTCCTTGTGTGCTCTAGGAAGTCCACTAATAATCATAGTTTAATGTTTGGGTTTTGACATCTCATCCTCACTAAAATATTAAGTCTCTAGTAAGTGTATATCTTTATTTAAACTGAAAATATGTTTTAAAATGTTTGCATCTTGAAAACTTTAAAATCTAGAAGAAAATAAAAGTGTACTAGAGGCTACATTAATCTTTCTTCTGCACACAGATTCCACACGGATTTAAAGTAGGAAAAATATCACCCCCTGTGTACTTGACAAATGAATGGCCAGGCCATAACTCAGTTCCCGATGTCTTCTGGAATGATTGGTTAAGTCCTGAATCTGTCCTTGAGCCACCTGAGGAGAATGGTGAATATGTGGAACTCTATGACACTGCTGCTGATACCGATGGTGGTGAAGGTGTTTCTAATGATGTTTATGAAGATTCCTATGGCCATTCTAATAGCAATGAAGATTTGGATAAACAGGTTGCTCAGGAAAAGGATGTCTGTGAAGACCATGCTGTTGAGAACAACATTGATGAGTCTGTTGATAGCATAGATAAAAATCATGTTGGTGCTAATTGTTCAAGGTTGGTTTTCTCAGTGATTCATATTATATGTGTTTTATGACTTTAGAATTGTTTGCATCTTTGTTTTATTTTGAAAATATACTGTGTTATCTTGAGGGAGACTGAATTACCCCAGAATATTGGCAAACAAGTGATTATTAGTATGTTCTAAATTGTTCTAATGTAGAATGCTTAATTTCACACTAGTTGCATACTATTTTATTAACATTCACATATTTATTACTTGTTTTATAACTGGTGTGGTCTGAACATTGATAGTAAGATTATTGTGACTAAAAATTTTTTTTCTGTATTTAAGACAAGGTCTACAGAGTTTCACTACATCTATCAGACTCTTAGTGATTCTCCTGTTTTCAGCCTCCCAAGTGCTGGGATTACAGGCCCGCACCACTATGCCCGGTCTCAATCGCCATCTCAGTGCATCGCGGGGGTGGGGCCAGCACAGCACGACTGGGACTTAACCCCAGCTGCTGTGCTCTGCTTAACCAGGCACTTTAGTCTGCTGAGCTATGAGGCCGGCCCTTAAATTTTATTACTATATAAAGCAACAAGCATAATAAATGAACAAAAGTATTTTCAAACATACTTATGCATTTGTGAAACACTTGACATTTTAACATGTACGTAATAAATGTAGCATGATATCTACCTAGTTAATTAGTACAAGGTCTATCAGGGGCCGGAGATACAACTCAGTGAAGTGAGTACATGCCTGGCAAATTCAATTGCCCTGGTTTTTCTTTTCCCTGGTACCAAAAAAGAATCTATCAAAATTTTCATTGTTGAGAGTCTGAAGCAGGTAGATGGTTAGTTTCAGACCCACTTAGCAACTTAAGGAGAACCTGTCTCAAAACAGAAACTAAAACAAAAGGATTCATGATGTAATTCAGTAATAGAGTGCATACACTAAGCTCTGGATTCAGTTTCTAGTACTCCAGGTAGAAAAACCAGAATTCCATTGTCACATAGACTTGTTTTTTGAATCACTACAGGCACTTATGTCTAATAGTTGTTACGCAAAAAAAGAGAATACTATATAAGTCGTGTATACTGATTGTGCCCCTATGGAAAATAAAAGAGAATACTAAGACATTTTGGCAAGTTTAGTGTTTTATTCAAACTGATTAAATGACTACCGTCGTTATACAAGATATTAGGTCAATATTTTAACTTTCTGGGAGATCAGTTGATAAATGATATTCTGTAGAAACAAGTCAATATATGTTAAAATGTGTCAAATTTAACATAAAATAGATATGCAGAATGAATTATTCAAGTGTGTTGCGGCTGAGCCAATAATACTGGCTTAACTGTTTATGTAGCTGTGAAATTTCTAATGCATGAAGTAATCTATTATGCAAGAAAAAGGTACATGTTTGTGCTATCAAAGGCCAGAGATCTAACTCAGTAGAGTAAGTTCCTGCCTGGCAAGTTCAAGATCCCAAGTTAAATTCCTGGTGCCAGAATGGTCTATCAAGACTTTCATTGAGTGGGTGAAGCATGGCAAGTTTGAGATCTAATACATGTATCTAACAAAAAATGTGATTTCTTTTATTATTTTTTTTTATTTTTTGGTCCCCAAAATCAAACTTGGGACCTTGTGCTTGCCAGGCAGGTACTTATGCTGCTGAGCTATATCCCCACCAAAATGTTATTTTTCCTCTGTAACTCAAATATAACCCAGGAACTGAGAGTGGTATGGTGCTAGTCAGTATTTAAGATTGACACTTGGTACTTTTCTCTGAATACTAGTGTTGTTTGCGCAGAGCAAAAACACACCTAGACATGGTATATGTATGAAAGAGATTTTTAATTTTTGTTTCATTTACTGACTTTCAGCTGTGTTTTCATTTATTGAGTGGTTTTCTTCAATTTGTCCTTGTTATTAGGGCAAACTGTGATAAAGATGGAAGCTGCAAGCAAGATGGCAGTGATGGAAAAGATGATACCTGTAGAGGCTCTAGCAGTAGAAGCCTTGGAAGAAGTGCTACTAGTGGAGGCAGTGAAGCCATTGGAGATCAGGAAAGACTTGGAGATGACATAGGAAGTGAAAGAGGTACCAGGAGTAAAGGAAGTAAGAGAGTCAGTGGCATCAATGAAGAGAACAGTGCATTTGGACCCAATCAAGGAAAAAAACACTCAGACGCAGATGCTACAGGTTTGGAGAGATCCAAATTACAGAGTTTTGAACATCAACAGGAGGTAATGTGCCATTTGTAAAGAATAATAACTTTCTCTCTTTAGGAATGTGTTTCTGCACATAATATTTGGCATTTCCATTTATGCCCAATAGATGTTAACACTGTTCCCCCAAACATTAAACATTTTAACTAGAACTTTGTGTGGAGGTCTTTAGTGTCTCTAATTTGGCTGGTTCGTTTCTTTGCTTCTAAGGACAAAAACAGTCTTGTTTGTCTTTCTTTACTCATATCATGTGTCTGGGGTAGTATAGCCTAATACATAATTTTTCGGAGAAGATTGTTTTTCTTTTTTTCCTTATGTATTTTTACTACAGTATCTACAGAATCTCACCACGTAGATTGAACTCTTAGTGATTGACCTGTTTTCAGCCTCCCAAGCACTGGGATTACAGATCGCACCACCATGCTGGTTCTTAATTGCCATCTCAGCATGCCCTGGGGGGCTGGGCCAGCAGGGAAGATTGTTTTTATTTAAAAATATACATGTAATACCATTTAACTTTTTTTTTGTCAGTACTGGGCAATGAATCCAGGGCTTTCTCCCTGAGCTACATTCCCAGCACTGCATGTGGTACTGGGGGTCAAACCCGGGTCTTTTCCTGCAAGCGCAGGGTCCTGAGTTCTATCTCCGGTACCACAAAAACAAAAACAAAAACAAAAACAAAAAACCACGAAAAACAAAAAATAAAAAACGGGTCCTTGCGCTTCCCATACAGGTGGTTAGACTGCTGAGCCATCTCCTCAACCCAGTTGTTGAGTTTTATAAGTAAATACGGATTTTTATAAGTTCATATATATTGCAGATTTTACATTCATGTTTTAAAGTGAATCCTATGCATTTTCTTCTCCTTAAACTTGGTAACAAATAAAAATTGTATTTTGGTGCCCTTTTAGGAGCTAAATGATGGAAGTGATGGCTCAAACTCTACTGCCTCAGATGTTGCATCCCCTGAACTAGATTATGAAGATGGTCATACAGACACATCAGAATCATCGACACAGTTGGATGCTTTTGCCAATAACTCATCTCCTTCCAAAGGTTCCGGGGTGACTGCTAATGCTGACTTTGCCTGTGCCATCTGTAAGTTTCTATTATGATTTGTCAGTGCTTCTATCTGTTCTCGTATTCAATACTGTTTAGTCACTTAATGCTCTGAAAGAGTTAAATTATTCTGATATTTAATTGACATAATTCAGATGAATGTATACTTTTAGTCTAATCTACTCTACATTTTTATGGTGCATAACTTTGAGCTACAGTTGACAAATTGAGTCCCTTATTAGATTTTGTTTGCATTCTAATAACAGTCACTTGAGCAGTGTAGTTTAACCATTGTGATTTGTGTTGTCTGATCTGTTATATTAAATAACATATAGTACATGAAAAGGAATGTTTTTTTTTAGACTGTGACTTTTTCATGGAAACACTCAAGGACATAGGTTGTATAAATTAGCAATTTCTCTTAATATCACCCTCTTGTTTATCAACAGTATATGCTGGATTCATGGAAGTACCTGAAAAATCAACTAAGAGAACCTTTGAAGTCAATGTTAATCCACCTTGTGTCTCTTCTACATGTAAAAAACCACTAATTCACATGTATGAAAAAGAATTCACTTCTGAGATCTATTGTGGTTCCTTGTGGGGTGAGTTTGACTTTTTGAAACTGAATTGTTTTTATAAAAGACTCTATTTTTAACCTATGTAGAAAACATGTGAAAATTATGTATGCATAACATTTGCTAATTATTATCAAATCATTACCAAGTAAAATTTTGTTTATTTGAACAGAAATGATTTTGCTGATTATTACCTCATCCTTAATATTTTTTTAACCTGAAGTAACATTGATAAAATACAAAACTGGAGAAACTTTGCGTTCCTAATTTAGGGTGCAGTCATGAATATTATGCCTAGTAGGGTATTACAACAAAGATTTCTGTAGAACATTGTTTTTAAACAGTCATGAAATTTTAAGAGAAAATTGGGCTAAAAGGTCTTAATTTTGACAGCCGTCTTCAAGTCCTCATTTCAAAATATAGTGCTAGCAATCATGCTGAGGCACTATCTTACCTCAAGTCAGTCTGCCTCATAAGTAAAACAGAGTAAGTGAATGCAGTGAATGCAGTATTTACTTTGTAGTCTCCAAAGTAAATACTAATCTCCACCTTGTAATGTGACAGATTCTACTTGGTGTACAGTTGAGCAGGAGAAGGGCTTTTGGTTGAAAATAGGAAAGGCTACAAATGTAAATCCATGGATTGAACAACTTAGAAAAGTAGCATCCTCAAAACTTTTCTAATTGACTGTATCAGACAATAAGAATGCATTAGCATTTCAGTCTAGCAGCTATCAAGAAATGTATTGTTGGGCTGGGGAGACAGCTCCAGTCTAAGCACCTGCTTGGCAAGCATAAGGACCTGGATTCAATCCCCAGTTCTGCATGTAGTGCCAACGTGCTGAACACTGAAACCATGTGTGGTGGTGCACACCTGTAATCCCACTGCTGGGAAGGCTGAGACAGGGGGATCACTAGGAGTCCAAGCTGTGTAGCAAGACCCTGTACCAAATAAGTAAGTACATAAAAGATTTTTTAAAAAATTACAAAAAGAAATATAATGTTGAGTAATTTATACCTAGTAATTACATGCTTTGAAAACTAAAAGATCACTGGTAGTGCTTTCCCCTCCTGCTCCAATTCCCCTTAAGGAAGATGCTGTTTCAAGATCAGCCATTGGCTCTGAGAACTGGAAAGGGGCAGAGTGGGAAAATAGGGACAGAAACACTTGTCTTTTCTCCTTGTATCCACAGAGCACAAATATTTCTCAAGGGGAAAACAGATACCATATTTTCCTTCTCTATCACTTGATTAATTGTCTGTTGTGACTCAGTTAGTGGGAAGATTTCCACAGTAGTTTGAAATGTGTTTTATTTTATTTATTTTATGTATTTGGTACAAAGTCTCACTACACAGCTCAGACTCCTAGTGATTCTTCTGTTTTCAGCCTCCTCACTGCTGAAATTACAGGCATGTGCCACCATGCCTGGACTCATTCTCCACCTCAGTGCGCCCTGGGGGGGTGGAGCCAGTGCTGCATGTGGGACCAGGGATAGAACTCTGGTCCCTGCATTTGACAAAACAGGCACTTAGTCCACTGAGCACTCTCACCGGCCCCTGAAGTATGTTTTACATTTAATTATATCTTTTATTTCTCAATCTTTCCATTTAGCCTTGAAACAGTACTTATATTTGAACTACTAGAGTAAGAAAACAAAAAAAAGATAGCAGAGGCACTAGGTACATTAAAATAGGCACAATTTCATAGATATTTAACAAAGTGAAATTTTAAATCTCTTCAGAGATTTAGAAGCACTCAAGTTAAAATAGCATATAAATAGCACTCAAGTTAAAATTACATATAATTATTCTAAAACATTAAAATATTTTGTTATACTTAGGAATCAGAAATAAAATAAATTGAATTATTTATGTGTTAGGCTAATGACATTTAATAGTAATCTGCAGAAGGATTGACTGATAAACTTTGGGGCACTAATAGATGCTGAGATATACATAAAATTGTATTTTTAAGATGACATAGATTGTAAACTATTGCTACAGAATATCATCTCAGAGTATATAGCTACAAAGTATGAAATTAATATTAGCATAAAATTATAAAAGTCATCTTTATATAGATTAACACATTGAAGAATGAAAAATTCTAATATAAATGTAATTGCAACAAATAATCTGAATTAATGTAGTACTTTTTATATCTGAACAGGAGTCAATTTGCTGCTGGGAACCAGATCTAATCTGTGTCTACTGGACAGAAGTGGAAAAGCAAACATTACTAAACTCATAAAGCGAAGACCATTCCACCAAATTCAAGTTATAGAGTCACTCAATTTGCTGATTACCATCTCTGGTTTGTTTAAATACTAAAATTAGCTGAGCAATTATGCAGATAAATTAGGTTGCAAACTAGGTTAAAGACTTCCTCAGGTGAATGCGTTCATAGGCAAGCACTTTAAATATAACATTTAAGTGGGACACAGGGCTCTCCTATCTATATTTTTTGTATCTTTTTTTTATCTATTTACAATTTAAATCAACTTTCTTTCATTGCAATGCACTTGATCCAGGTTATTGATAAGAAAAACCATACTGCATTTTTTTTCTGGATAACCTCCTGAAATGTCATACCTCTAAATTTTCATGAACTCGTACACACAGACCACAGCAATGTGCACCACACACCATTCATGATCTTAGAAGCAGAACGACAACACCAAAAATAAACCAAATTTGGACACACATCAGTAAAAATGAGACTTGGTCTTGGCACAATATTATATAGTATCAAATCATACATTTTTATTGGAACATTTTTCTTATCACTACCCAAAACCAAAAGAACTAGCCATGTTGCAGGCTGAGCTCTTCTGTCAGGAAGTGACTGGCCTGCCTGGAATTGCTTCTATTTAGATAAACACTGTCTGCATCATCCAAGGAGTAGGCTGTCCACTGAAAACATTGGCACGCCACTGCAGCTCTTCCAAAAGATCTAAACTTAAAGCATAAAATAATCAAGATAGGGTCATTTAAAATTTTTTATATTTATTTTTATTTATTTTAATGAGAAAAAACACAAAACAGCAATGAAACAGTTTCAGAAACAGGTTAGTAGGACAGTTACAATGCTTAATATATTGCATATCATTGTCTTCATAGTAGTTATTCAGAGGACAAGATGTAGTCTAAGGAAGCAACCTTCTCAAAATCTTCACCAAAGATTTGTAAATACAATAATGCTAATAAAGGAAAACACTGAACTCTTTCTCCTGTATACTAGGGCCTATTATATATAAGACTTGCTACAAGAATGGGTCCTAGGATACACCTTGAATCCGTAATTTTAAGTGAAGTATATCAGACACATAAGCTTATATATCATATGGCTCCATTTGTATAAACAACTGAACACGAAATGAATTAAAATTAAAGCAGATAATAAGAAACAGCAAGATATAAATCTTTTGGAAATTGGAAGAGGGCCAACATATAGGGAGACCAGGAGAGGGGGAACAGGGAAAGGGTCATAACCAATTAAGATATGCTACGTACAGGTACTAACTAGTCACAGTGAATGTATTCATTATGTGTGTCACAAACATGGACTAAAAACAGAATGGATTCCCTCAAGACCACTATACATTTTCCACACAGTACTTGGATTTCTTATTTTGGAGCAATCAGATCTTAAATATTTCTCTATGAAAAAGCAACTAAATGAGTGTTAGAGTAATAGTTATTACTAACTAGAACCTGTTATAAGAAAGAAATTGCATTAAATCTGCATGTAGTCAAAAGATAAAAGACAAAAAGGTAAAATTTAAAAGTGGTTTATCTATAGAGTAAAATCCTAGAAATTAGTTTGTTGTGATAGAGAATAATAGGGTGTATGTAATAGCAACGCATTATAGATTTCAAAATGGAAAAAAGCAATTTGAATGTACTCACTATAAGAAAGTACTAACAGTTTTAGGTTAAGGTTAAGGTTAAAAGTATCCTGAATTGGACACTGCCCAGTATATGCTTGAATTAAAATATCACAATATGTACCTCAAAATATGTATTTTGTAGCAACAAAAGTGTTAGAAGTCATTGAAATAATTTTAGAATAAGAATGAATCGGGTTGAAAAGGAAATAACAAAGCTTCAGCTGTTTTATAAGTATGCTAGAATGGTAGAAAACCAAGAGATCCATCTTTGTGGCCTTAAATGCCTAACCAGTCACTATTCAGACATCCTTCATACACACAAACGTTATCAGGGATTGCTTCTAATTTTGTGAACCACAAAGGAATAGTGACTCAGTAAAAAGCCAAGGTATAAGTGAATGCATTGTATCTCTGTGGCCAGTTTAGTGGCAGTCATAATTTGTCTCAGAGAAGCGTTTTAGATCCCACTTCACACAGATATGTATGTACCTGGTTAGCACTTTATCACTTAGAACTTAGATAGACTTTTGATAATGTATTTCTAAATTCTGAAGGGGAGATTCTGACTCAATGTAGTGATTAAAAATAGGATTTTTACATTAGTGAGCACATGTTAAAAAGGCAAATAGCTTTACTTTTTTATTCTTCTAAGATATGAAGAAAATAGGTAGAAATGAAATATTGTATCTTTTCTTATCTACCAGGTCACAAGAATCGACTTCGCCTGTATCATTTGACGTGGCTGAGGAACAAGATTTTGAATAATGATCCAGAAAGTAAAAAACGGCAGCAAGAAATGCTGAAGACAGAGGAAACTTGCAGGGCTATTGATAAGTTGACTGGCTGTGAACACTTCAGTGTCCGTATGTACCATTTCACATTTACTATAAGCTGTATAGTGTTTCCTTTCTTTCACTGAGCCAAGTACATAATTATGAAATGCAAAGGAGAAATAGAAAAGAATTTGCAGTTTCTAATACACAGATGCGTAAATTTCATTGAGACAGGTTTTACTGCTAAAATCTTGGCTGCTAGAACACTGATTGGCTGAAATAGCTATTGGTGTTCAATTTGTTATTTCTTCACCTTTCTTCCCTTATAAGTTACAATAAATACCTGAGTTAAACTGATATTTTCCAACTTCTATATACCTATAAATGCTTCTGATATATCTTCAACAACCTACACAGATTTATGGTATTTCTTCAGAATAACAATACAATGCAACTCATTTTAGTAATAACCAGAAACCTTATGATAAATCAGAAAGAAAATATTTCTGTGATCTTCTGGCTCTCACTGTCAATATTGATTATGCAGTAATTATGTGTTTAGTGTGATTTGATAATTTTTTCATCTTTACAACCATCCACTGTGAAATAACAAATGGAGTAACAACTCCAATATCTCAGATTCCTGCTTTCAGCTGTCAATTATGAAGTTATGTCATCCTATTTTGTTCCATTTCTGAATCAGATCCCCTTTACTGTCTACCTTATTTCTATATCTCTGCATAAATTTTCACTTCAAGAACTGCTAGCATAGGTGGAAGATAGTTCACATTATGCATTCACGTTATATGAATTGCAGAATATTTCTAAATAATCATTTTTATGTGTATAAAGCAGCTTTATCGGGATATTTGTTCTCATGTGCATGGTTGTGTACACAAACACTGATAGAAGGAGAAATTTATACCACAATAATTTAGGCAATAAATAAAAACATTATTTTCTTCTGGTTTTGAGTATCACTACTCCCTTCCAATTATATTATGTAAATGTGATGAGTTTAGAAGTGAAAGATACCCCAAATGTTATCTTAGAGTTTATATTATAGAACTATTTCCTATTAACTTGTACCATTTTAATTCAGTAATAGATAGTTATGAAGGGAATAATCTTGTAGATCTGTGCTCTTGGCAAGGGGATGAATTACTTAACAATTTTCCTGACTGTTCCCATTCTAATGTACTCCATCATTCAGAGCAACCAGACCTGGGGATACAGCTCTGTGGCATAAGTGCATGCCTGTCCTGAGTTTCATCCCTGGTACAAAAATATATGGTAATATGTTCACAAGGAAGGATGACTATGAATCATACTGGCCAGGTGTTTTCATAATCTTTCAAGATTCATAAGACAATGAAGTAGCCATTATCATTGCCCTATATTAAATGTATAGGAAATGTCTGCTTAACTAACACATTTTGTTTTCTTATTGGGGATATAGTAGTCATGTTTCTTTGACTTGGAAGCAATACAAAGAAAATGGAGAAGTAAAGAGAGTGAGAGAATGAGAGAGAGAAGATAGAGAGAGAGAGCAACAGAGACAGACATTGTGATAAAGAAAGAAGGGATTTAATGGAAAGTATAAATCTATTGAGTAACAGCATATTCCATATCAATCAACCAGAAAGACTAAGAGGAAGCATATACTTGTTACTTTTCCTTAAGAAACAGTCCTATTGAAATAATTGAAATGCTACAAACTGCACCAATTTAAAGTACACAAGTCAGTGGCTTATGCTGTATTTGTAGAGCTATGCAACATCTCTATGAGCTATTTTTCATCCCCAAAATAACGCACTCCTATCTGTTAACCTGTCTTCCCATTCTCTTCTTTCTCCCTTTCTCTTACTCCCTTTGCAGTCACATGTACCCATTGATATACTTTCTTTCTGTACAAGATTTTTCAATCCTTAAATATTAATGTAAATGTAGCCATACATTATGAGATCTTTTGTGACAGACTTTTTCACATAGCATAATTGTTTTGTAGGTATACATCACTTTTTGTTTGCCTATACCTTGGTTGACAAAAATTTGCATATTTTCTTCTCTTTGGCTATTACTAATAATTTTGCTATTAATATTTCTATATGTCTTTGTATATATGAATATTTTTCATATGTTTGTATGAGTATGTATGTTTTGTTTTCCTTTAGATAGTACTGTGAAAATGATTTCAAAGTAGACGTACCATTTCACCTTGCCATTAGTAATGTGCTAGGACTCACAATATTTTGTGTCCATTCAAACATTTATAGATGCTTATGTTTTGACTCTTGCCATCCTAGTGTGGTAAAAAGCAGTAAACTGGGTTTAAATTTTCCAAGAGATTAATGTTAAGCCTGTTTTCATGTATTTACTGCTCCTTTTTTTTATCATCTTTGGAAGAATAAACTATTCAAGTATTTCCCCATTTTTAATGGGTTTGTCCTTTGTTGTTGAGTTTAAGAATTATTATACTAGCCCCTTATGAGATGCGCGATTTGCAGATATTCTCTGCTGACCCACAGGCTATACTTTCAACTCCTTGATTGTGTCCCTTGATGCACAAAATTTTTAAATATGATGTATCCTAATTTATCTATTTTTTATTTTGACCTTTACACTTTCACTGTCAAACATAACAAATTGACATATTCAAGGTCATCAATAGTTGTCCATATATTTATTGCTGAGTTTAAAATTTTAGATCTTACATATAGGTCTTTGATTCATTTTGGGATTTTATAGGGTAGAAATTAAGAGTCCAGATTCATTCTTTTTTGTGTAGATATTCTCTTGTTCCAGCACCATTTACTGTACACTGTTTTTCCTTATTGGGTTGGTTTAGGTACCATTTACTATGGACTTATGGATAAATTTGTTGACTCTAAATTATATTCCATTCATCTGTATGCCTACCCTGATGTGTGTTACATATTTTTATTACTGTCATTTGTAGTCTCAAATCACTAAATATAGGTCCACCAATTTTGGGTTTTGTTCTATTTTCAAGATTGTGGGGTCAGTCAGATAGCTACCTGGCTTCAATCCCCCGCGTGCCATACCGGCCCCACCTGAGGGGCGCATTGAGATGGCAGCTGAGACTGGGTGTGGTGGTGCTCACCTGTAATCCAAGCACTCGGGAGGCTGAAAACAGGAGGATCACTACGAGTCCTATGTGTGTAGTGAGACCCTGTAAGACCTTGCACTAAATACATAAAAAAATATTGTGTCGGTTGTTCAGAACCTCTTGTCAGTCCATGTGAAATTTAAGAATAGCTTTTTAATTTCGACAAAAATAGGATGCCATTGGAATTTTAATAGGTATCTCCTTCAGTCTATAGTTTTCCTGAAAAGTGTTGCTGTCTTTAAATGTTACATATAAAAATGGATGAAAATTTTTTCCATTTATTTAAATCTTCTTTAATGTTTTCATCAATATCCAAAATTGTATAGTAATCTTACTGTTTTGAAGCAGCATGAAATTCTAAGTAAGTAGCTTTTAAAACTAAAGTCTTGGAGAAAAGCACTCCCAAACTATGTTCTAGCAAGCTCTGCAAATGATTTTCACACATATTAAAGTTGGAGAACCATTGATCTGAATCATCTCAGAACTTGGGAAGAGTCTGATTATGTGAGAGGCTGCTGATGAATAGAAAAATTAACATGAAAAGAAGAAAAAGTCCACATTCAGATGACTAGAAGAGAAAACATTCTAGAAGAAAAATTACCATATTCAGACCAAAGTCCATAACTCTTTTTAACTGGGTGTCTGTGGGTATGGTATTCAACTTCAGAGTTCTTTTTTTCCCTCATCTGAAAAGTATTCATTTATTTAACCAATTAGGGAGGTAAGAGAAACAAAGTACATGAAAAACACATTCTAAAGCATATTATAGAGCCTATGATGGTGCTTAAAGACGGAGAAGAATTAGCAATTAATTCTAGATGTGAAAACCAAGGAAACCTTCAAAATGAAGACGTTGTGAAGTTAGCCCAAGAAAGACGAGAGACAATTCCAAGGATGGATGCCATAAAGGTAGAGAATAAGGGACTGTAACATGCCAATGACGAAAACAGTGCAGCAAGGATTGGCATCGCTGAGACCATGTGGAGGAACACAGTCTCTCTCAGCTCAAACATCATTTTTTCCAATAATTTTTAGCAGTGTTCATACAACAGGTAAATTTGAATGTCATTTCAGCAACCAGTGCTAGGACATATGTTTCATTTTACAATAATAGTTCATAAATATTGAACTTTGGGCAAATGTCTTTTTTCTAAATTCTTCTTGGCTGCCTGCAAGGTAAAAACAAAACAGAACAGAACAAATCAAAACCAAAACAAGAGTGTAATTTTTCAAAGGAGTGCCTATTCCTACTCTTTTCCATATTCCTTCTGTGGAGATTGTGGGCATTGCTGGAGTCACTTAGGTTTGCTTACCACTTGGGAAACTGTTGATGTTCTAAAGCCAGAATTGAAATGGATTTCATCACAAGAAAGGAAGAACACACTACTATAAATTTTTGATTAACCTTTAAAAAAAAAAAAACTAAAGTCTTATGTTATGACTTTATTTGTCATAACAAATGAAAATGCCTGAGTGCTCTTGTTAAATCTGTGGTATTGTTTTTTGTATTTTATCATTGTAGTCCAACTTGAAGAAACAACATATATAGCAATTGCTTTGAAATCATCAATTCACCTTTATGCATTGGCGTCAAAGTTCTCAGATGAAAGCACTGCTGTTAAAGTGAGTGATCTTTTTTTCCTTTGCATCATACTCTTTTTATTTTCATCACAAAAGCAAAGAAATATTTTCAATACAGATGCAGTATGCCATTATTTTAAAATTAATGTAATTTAGATATATCATATCAGTAGTTATCATTTAGCTCTTTTTAACTGTTATTTAAACAATGCACAGCAGGGCCAGGGATGTAGCTCAGCGGCATAAGCACCTGCCTAGCAAGTGCAAGGTCCTGAGTTTGGTCCCTGGTACCACAGGAAAAAACAAAACAACAAAAAGACCCCCCCCCAGCATCAGAGCATGGGAGAATATGAAAAAAATCCTTGACCCCACCTTCATTGCCCTACTTCCATAATGTCTCACACTCCTCACCCACAATTCCTGTATTCAACATGAATACAGGATATTCAACATGAATATTTTCTTTTTTAAAATCCCAAGCACAGGCTCTGAGTGTCATGCTACAAACCTGAATCTGAAAATCCCTGTTCTTTCTTAGTAGAGGGAAGGAGATTAGAAAGATGGTAAAAACAAGCTTGGAAATTATTGGAACAAAAAGGAGGGAAGAGAAAAATCTTTGCTTCAGTTACTATGTTGATGGAGTATGGGTGACGATGGGAGTAAAGGATGGGTCTACTCTGCTTACAAGCTGAAAGTCTAAACAAATTTTCTAGAATCATTGTGAAATATGGTAATTAGGTTTACAAGTAGCTTTCCATGCTTATTATGACTTAACTTTGCTTCAGTTCCAAACAAGGTGCTGCTGAATTTTTTATCAGAAGCACATAAGTTAAGGACTGTAAGTAATTTTAGTGCTCCAAAATTTCACTCAAATAGGAATGTTTTGTATTTCTTGTGTTGTAATGAGGGCTGATAGTGAAATGGTAACATTCTAGCAAGTCAAATAGCTTTTAATAAATGGTATATATAAGAATTGACTGACCTATTTCTGAAACATTTAGGTTTCAGACCTAATCCCACAAAGAATTAGTAGATCTGAGTGCAACCTGGGAATCTCTTGTTTTTTATTTTTTTTTAAATCAAAATGTGGCAGATAGTATTGAACTAGCTAGTACCTGGGCTGGTCTTTACAAATCACTAGTAGAAACACATTCTGATAAATTCTAACAAGGTATTAATGAAAAATAATTGAATCTCAGATGTTTTTATATGCTTTGTTTTGTAGGCCAAAATATCTCAATAAAAATGCACTAATTCTTATAACTTCTCCTCACAGATTTTTTCCACAATAGTTATACACTTTTTATAAATGACACAGATTGCATTAAACAAACTTGGTTTGCCTTGACACAAATTCCATCACTGACTTTATCTCAGCTATTAATATTTGGATATAAGTTTGCTCTTTAGTGTCAGAGCTACCTGATATGGAACATGGAAATCAAAGAGATATATACCAACAATCTCTCAAACCTGATACATGGTTCCTGTCAAAAATCCGCAATCTAGTTCTTAAATCCCACTCAAGATGCTACTATGGTGAATTCTTTGATAGTTCTCCACTGCGATCTGAACTTGACAGGAAATCCTGTTTGGTTTTTTGTGGCCTTGGACTGCAGACCATAAAAGCCAAGTGCACACTCAGTTGATAGTACATTAGTATGTTGGCCTTTTAGATGTTTACCAAGTATGCTTCAAGAAGTTAGTAGACTGTAAAGGACCTTACATGCCTTATGAAAGTTATATACAAGTAATGGCAAAAATACAGCTGGCTAATCCAGAGGAGTATCTTCATTTTTTGAAGCCCAATTTGAGGAATTTAAGCACAGCAAAGAGGAGAATGATGTGATGTTCTTAGTATCACTGGCAATTTGAAAATTCAAATATTTATTTATCTTCCAATTTTTGAAATTTTATTTTAAAGAGTAAAAACAAATAGCAGAAATCAAGACAAAAACAGAGAAATGAGTGTCAGTACAAATGGTAGAGTTTCAAAATAAGAATTTAAAAAAACAACAGTGGTTGTTATATCACATATTTTGACACTTGAAATATTTAGAAACTAACTATAATTGCACCTTTTGTTGTAGTGACAGATCTAATAAAACCTCCAATATGTAGGTCTTTAAATATGGTATGCCATTTAAAACATCCACCTAGGTTCTACAAATCTGTTAATCTAGGAAAAAATGGAAGATTTTGTTTTTTTTCTTTTCTTTCTTCTTCTTCTTCTTTTTTTTTGGCCTTGAAAACAATGTTGTATTTTGGCCTTTCAGTCATACTTGGCTTCATAATTTCAGGTGTTTCCAACTCTTAATCATAAGCCAGTGACAGTTGATCTGTCTCTTGGTTCTGAGAAAAAACTAAAGATTTTCTTCAGCTCCGAAAATGAATATCATATCATTGATGTAGAATCTGAAGTAATATCTGATGTGATCCTGCCACGTAACGTAAGTTAATACCTTCAAATTCTTAGAAATGATAGTATAGCAGCATTATCACTTTCCAAATACTAAAATTCTGAAAGGCTGAAAAATATCAATAACAAAACTTATACTGGAATGGGCAACTAAAAAGTATCTATAGAGCACACAGATTTTTGTTTTATTTGATTATTCATTTCTTCCTAATGCATAAACTTGTGCTTCCCAGGCATTTTTACTCTCCTACAATCTTTTGTTTTTTCTTTTCTTTCTTTTTTTTTCTTTTTTTTTTTTTTTTGTGGAACCAGGGAATGAACTCAGGCCCTTGCTTTGCCAGGCAAGCACTTATTTTACTAAGCTATCTCCCCAGCCCCTCACCTACAATCTTGCTTTGAAATTTTTATACCATGTGTCTGTTGCTTTTTTCTTTTAAATACAGAAAAGAAAAGCCACTGAAGAAATTTAAACCCAGTGTTCCAACTAACCAATAAGCAAGAAAACATATCTGTTAATTACTGTGAGAGTTAGAATGAAAGAAGATGAGGTTTTAAAAATAATTTTTCTGACCTAATTAGGATACCTTGTGTATATTTAAAATTAGATTTAGCTAAATGCCCTAGAGTCTTGATCCAGTAAAAGAGAAAGGATCGTAATATAAAAGAGAGGAAGGTATTTTCTGCAACAGAATGTACTGAAAATGATATTTTTCCAAGAGTGCTGAATTACAAGTCTGTAATGCTACAAGATGCTATGTGTGCCAAAGAGTTATCTGGTTATTTGAAGAATCATTTGAAAAGCAAGTAAATTAAATCAGATGCTGTCTGGATTATCGGAAGTCCAATTTTGTTATAAACAAGATTTTATTGAGACAAGGTTTTTTCTCGCAATTTTTTTTGTTTTCTTCTTTCACCTCTTTTCTGATTCAATTGCTCATGCAAGTGCCCAGAGAACGCATTAAAATTGCTTTTCGCCTCTGGATCCCCATTTTAGTTTTAAGGATTGTTGTTGCTGAGACATGGACTCAAGCTCTTGGCCTCAGTATGCTGAGTTTGGCAAGTATAGCTTTCAAACTGTTTTGTTTTGTCTGTAACTTGCTAACTTGAAGAAGCAGTAGAGAACATAATTGTTTATTTCTCAGGGAAACATTGTCATTGTGACAGTATTAGCTTAAGCAACTTTTGTTACATTTTATGTATCGTGGAATTTAGATGTGCTCCTAAGTTTGTGCAGTGACTATAATTTAATCTATAAAAATGAGATATAAAAGCCTAAAAGTTTTGCAAAGGTGGGGGTGAATTATATGCAAAGCTCTGAAGAATACTATAAATGCAAGCTTTGTAAACATTTTGAACTTAAACTATTTTATGTTAATTTCCTATTTTTTATTTTGATGAATATGCTAACCGATGGTTATATATTTGCTACTTGGTTCACATACTCATTATTCAAATATTTAATAATTGTTAAAATGTATTTTAAGCCAAGTCTACAGTATTATGGAGGACAAGAAAACTCTCTGTATTGGAAATATATTTTTTATTGTTTTTCAAATAAGCCTTCCCCCAAATTTAAATGCAAAGCTTAAACAGCTATAACTACCTTTCATCAGGTAAGCAGCTCTGCAAGTGGTGGGTAGCTTGCTGTTTAATTTGGATACAGAAGCTTAATCTTGCCTAATTCTTAGGCAAGCTCCTTCAATTAAAATCATAGTGATACAAATACTGGACATATAAGTCCTATGAAACATAATTTCAGCTCCCGGGAATCATTATATTACAGAATATCATCATTTTACCTGAGTCTTTGGGAATTGGCATGATGCTCACTTTCAATGCTGAAGCTCTTTCTGTGGAATCAAATGAACAACTTTTCAAGAAAATTCTTGAAGTATGGAGAGACATACCATCTTCTGTAGGTATGTACAAGATATATCACTCTTTAAGATAATTCCAGAGAAACATTTTAAGGGAAATGTATCCTAAGTAAAGTTTTCCTGAAAGATTGTTTTTTTCTTAAAGAACAGAGGGTTTTCTAGAGACTTGCACACCTTGTCCTAGTAAGGTGAAGCAAGTATCTGTCATATGCTCAGCACATTCATGTGACTATTAAATAGAAATCAATTTTAGTTATCTTCGTTGTTCATTTCCTTATTTTATTAAAATAGGAGCTAATGCCTTTCCACTATCTGTAATTTTGCTTTAAGTCTCTTTGCTTTAAATATGTTGAAAATACTTCTTATCATTGTATTAATTTTATTTAGGAGACTACCATCACAAAACAATAGCAAAAAATTTCTATTTCATACAGTCAGTAGTGTTCTGTTTAGTGAGTGATAGTTTACGAAGAATCAGTTCATTTGGAAAAACAACAGATGCAACTGGAATGCATAAAAGGTATCAATCTGAAGACCACATAAATAAAACTGTCTCTTCATCCTCTTCTGAACAGGATATTTTTCTCTACCCAATGTAGGTAGGCTTATGATCTGGAAAATGCAAATAATTTGGGATGCTTGTGTATGTTTCTGAGGATTGATTATTCTAGGTAGGGAGCAGAATGCATAGGAAAAGTAAAAATATTGGAGCGATATTATCAAAATGAAAGACAGTAATTTTCATAGAAAACGAGTTTGAAGGAGAAAGACAGAAGTGTGGCAGGGCAGTGGAAAGCTGATGTAATTGGTCAAGAGAAAAACCAACAGTTCCACAAATCTCTATAAATTAGGTAAAAGTTATACTCATGTGAATTTAAGGACTAGTTTTAAAGAACTAATTTTGATGAACAGTTTTTCTATGGGATGATGGCACTTTGCATTGTGTCTGCAAAATCTTTTACTGTTTTTGCATACGTAGTCAATATTAAGGATTGTCCTGAAAAACTGCTCCAATTTCTTCAAGCAGGCAAGTATTCACAAAGGGTTTAAAATCATTTTAAGTGACAGAAGATAAATGCTTATCGTGTAATTGGCAGATCTGGGGCACAGAAGCAAAAATAATCAAGTGGTGCTTTTATAGTTAATATATTAATTGATAAGAATAAAATAATTCATCTGAAATAGGAAGACAGAGACACTCCTATATTTATGCCATTAGACAATCAGAGGAGACAAAAGGATTTTTCTTTGCAAAAGGATCTTTAAAATTTTCCTTGTCCAGTTTTTGTCCTTAAGAGACAATGTTGTGTTATCTATATAATAAAGCTATTTTAGTTTGCTAGAATTTGGAAAATACTTACACATAAAATGAAGTAAGTTGTAACCTTATAGCCACATGGCATTTTTAGTTTTAAGTATTAAGGATATACATTATAGTGCTGATGTTAAAGAAATTATTCTTCTGTATCAAAGTGTTTTGTTATTTAAAGCTAACTCAGACCCAAATTTTCCTAGTCTAAATTTTGCATTTCTTTGAACAATGACAAATATTTTTGAGAGAAAGTTCATTGCTCAGAATTCCCAAACAAATATAGAGAGGATTGCAGTAGTTGGTAGTTTTACTAGGTATTCTCAGTATAACTGAGTGAATCTCATTTCAGAAAGCTCAGTAGCTAGGGTCTTGGGAGATAGCTCAGTAGAATAAGCGCTTGCCTGGCAAGTGCAGGATCCTGAGTTCAATCCCCTGTAGTGCAAAGAAAGAAAGGAAAGAAAGAAAGAAAGAAAGAGGAAAGAAAGGAAAGAAAGAAAGAAAGAAAGAGGAAAGAAAGAAAGAAAAGGGAAAGAAAGAAAGAAAGAAGAAAGAAAGAAAGAAAGAAAGAAAGAAAGAAAGAAAGAAAGAAAGAAAGAAAGAAAAGGGAAAACAAACAAGCAAGCAGCAAGCAAGCAAGCACAGTAGGTTGGTAAAGTTTCAAATTTATCTGTTGCGGGACTAAGGTAGAAATTTTGTTTTGTCAGGTGAACTGTGTTCTTGTATTTAGCAAGTAGCCTTTGCATTCACTTTAGAAACATTTTGCTGTTTGGTTATCTTTTACAGAAGCAATAATATGGGCAAAAAGTTTAAACACATATAGAAAAATTATATTACTTATTTCCTGTATTCATTTCCATTACACTCTAGGTTAATGTTAATTCTATTTTGAAATTATACTTATAAAGTTCTTCAAGGACAGCCATGTTCTGAGTTAAAATATGTTCATAATTTAAATTTTGAATTTGGTGTCCTAAATAAGTAAGTAATTGTGATTGTAATAAAAACAAGCAGGAGATACTAAATTCTTAGTTATTTTATTTGAAAGATCCAGTGCTCACTCTATTTTTTAAAGACACTTATATAAAGATTTAGGAGTTCTTTCATGAATCTTATATAATAGTTGAGTAAGATACCATTTCTCAGCAGCAGAGTGACAAAATGATTGACATAGGAGTAAGGGGAAATGATGGGTTAACTTGAATTGCAATGAGTTTCTTTATAATCAAATAGCAACTTTTTGTAACATTCAAATGACTGCGGGGAAAATAATGTTTCTGTGATATTTTTCATTGATGAGTTAGCTATTGAATGTACACAGCGGACCACAGGATGGGGCCAGAAAGCCATTGAAGTGCGTTCTTCTCAATCAGAGGTTCTGGAAAGTGAGATGAATGCCAGGTCAATCAAGAAGCTGAGATTTCTGTGTATCCGAGGTGACAAGGTATGATGTGCACTGTTAAGTTAGAGCAAAACTAAAGAAACAATTAAAACTAACTAAATAAATACATGTCCGTTTGTTTCTGACCATAAATATGCTGGTGTTATGTTTTTCAAATTAATGTGCCATTGGAAAAATAAATTTTCAATTTTGCAGTAGAAATATTGACTTGTTAAAATTTGAAATTGTTTCAAAACAGCTTCATTTTCGCAAAGTAGTTTTCAGTTATGTCAGACAAAATATATCCATTATTTATTCAGTATAAACTCTTTTACTGTCCTTGATCCACCATTCTTTTGTTTTCATACAAAATATTTTTAAACAAAATGTTTGAACAAATCCTTTTACATATTGCCTTCTATTAATATGTATTGATTGTGCATATTCAATGCGATTTAGTCATATGTTACCATATACACGCAGTGTCACTAATCAAGTCCAACCTGTATTTATCAAACCTACATTCTTGTAAACATCTAGCAATCACTATTCTACATTCAGGCCAGTGTTTCACATGAAAGAGAGCATGAAGCACTTGCTTTTCTGTGTCTGGTTTATTTCACTTAACATCATGTTTTCTTTTTCCATCCATTAGATTGCATACCACAAGTTTTCTTTCTTTATTAAGAATGAATAATTTTCCATTGTGCATTTGTGCCATATTTCCTTTTTTCATCAGCTGGTGCCTGTGCTTGCCTAAGTAGGAGCTTAGTCTGCTGATCTATATCACTGGCCTTATTTCATTTATAAAAGGAGGAATATTTCTACTTATGAGAAATAACAGTTGGAGAAATAGTCCTAGTAAAAATAATAAATATTCTTATTTAGAAGAAACTGAAACCAATTGTGGTGTCATATGTCAATAATCCCACAATTCAGGATGCTGAGGCAGGAGAGTTAACACAAGTTCAAGGCCAATGTGTATAATGCAGTGAGTTTAAGGCCAGCTCAAACTATATAGTGAGATTTAAAAAAAGACTGCACTGAACTTAATTTTAGCATAACTAGGTTAAAGTATTCTATGACAAGGGAAGACGTATATTTGCAAAGCATAAAGATAGAGTGACAAGAATTAGTGTTTGAGATCAGATAGGCCTAAGATACAGTCCTGGCTGCCATGTTAGTAGGTATGAAAATCTCAGAAATTTGATCTTCTTGATCATTAGTACCTTCATCTCCAAAAAGGGAATATTAGCTACTGTTTTGAGAACAATTGTGAAAATTTATGTGATGTGTGCATAGTAACCTTCTCCCAGCTTTAGTGAATAAAATGTGAATGTATTAAGCCAAGAGCATCTAGCATAACTTATCTGCCTCCTTACTATTATGTCTCAAATCCTTTGAAATAGAGACATTGTGGAGGTCAAAATAAGATCTAGCTATGGGGCCTGTTATGTCCATATTCTGTTTTGATTTTCTCTGGGAACTCTACCTATTTAGACAACATGTCTTATAATCCACTGGCTCAAACTTGTTCTTTAAAACTATGGATGTCAGCTTACTTAACAGAAATAGGAAATTATACGAAAAAAATTTCAGTGACTTCTTTAACTACAGCAGTTAATAGTAAATATGAAAATGAGTTGTTTCCTCATGTTAAAAGAAAAGCTAATGTAAGTAAAACTAAATTTTTAAAGAAAATAATTATTGTCAGTGTCAGCCATGTGGATGAGTCACGGCCATTGCTTGGCCAATGTGCTCTCTGTGAAAGCCTGAGACAATGTTTTCTCTCCATGTGACTCTCCTTAGGCACATTCTACAGCATCGATCACTTTCCTCTTTGGTCCCATAATCTTCTTGATCAGAAAATTTGGGACACTACTGAGTTACATGACTTTGTAGTACAAGTTCTCATATGTCCTGAGTCTTAATTGAACTTGGAAGGCTAGGGCCAAAATATTGGCTTTTCTTGCAGCCCTCCTTTTTCTCTAATTTTGGTCTGCCAACTTAGGTTGTTAACCATCCAGAAGACAAACTTATTGTTATTACCATACAACTTAGGCTGTTAAGCTTAACTTCACTATCTGTCTGCATATCAAACATATTAGACATAATATGGAACAGCTATTTTTCATCAAGTATTGATATGTTGAACTGACAAAGTTTCTACAGTCTGAGGAACAGGATCTCAGGATAAATCCTGAAGGGATTTCAATGACCTTATCAGATCCAAAAGCTACAACTCTTGTTGCATATGTCCTGCTTTACCTTGTTCTTAACCATCCAGCAGAAATGTATAAAAATGAAATGTGAGAAGTAAAGTCATGCTGTTACGTTGAGCTGTAGCGGACTCAGGTCAGAAATTTCTGACATTGCCAATTAAGTGGAAGACCCAATATTATTATGGGCTACTGGTCTCTTTTAGAATATTTTGCTGAGTTTACACACCTATAATATTCAAATAACAGAACTTAACCAAAAAAGGGGATACAGATGAATGTCCATTTTGTATCTGTGTATTCAAATAGATTAGGATAGATATATAGTTACATTCTCTTAATGTATAGAGTGATTTGTTCTAATAGTGTTAAGATATGTCCGCATCTTGTACAGCAATTAACCACTAGGAAGAATGTATGCAATGTGTTAATTATTGAAACTGTCCTACCAATTTGATTTGAAACTGTCTCATTGCTATTTGTTTATCAATAAAATTATGGAAAAAAAGAAAATAATTATTAATCAAAACAAATCATGAACTTCAATGGATATATGCCACCTAAAAATGATTTAAACTGTATGAATTGCAAGTATATAGAATATGGTAAAAGGTCATTTTAGTGATATAATTGAAACTCCCGATTAATTTTTGCTCATCAGTTTGAGGAAACTTGTCTGAAACAACAGTATAGGTCAATATTTGAAATAGGAGGTACAGATAAATTGAAATTATATGTACATTTTAGTCATTAACATTGTTGATCACTAAATATTGGTTGCAATGTTTTAAATATCTACTAATAGTGTGGTTTTTTTCTTTTAAAGCTGTTCTTTACCTCTGTCCTGCATAATGGCCACAGCCGGGTATATTTTATGACCCTGGGAAGACTCGAAGAGCTCCAGAGCAATTATCCTGTTTAAAAGATTCCAAGATTTGTTGTACACGTACAAACATCATATATATGCTACTACTTCTTCATTTTTCTGAGATTAAATGCTGTTTTATTATTAAAGAAATATAAATCAGAAACAACTTTTAATGTAGCACAGAATACTTTTAATGAGAAATGCAGCTTTATATATAAAATTTACTATAGCAATCTTTATGTACTCCAATGGTGTACAGTATCTTTTGCACAAACTTTGTAACTTTTGTCACTGTGAATTCAAGTATTACTCTTAAGACTGTTGGATGTTATCTTTATTCAAATTACAACATAAAGAAATCTATTATAAGTAGATTAAAAGCAGTTTTAAAAAGAATTGGCACTGAGTAGAATTTTAAAGAAAGAGAAGTAAGAACAAACTATGTAGTTTTTACAATGTCATATGAAAATTTAAGGTTAGGTCAATGATGGAAAACCTTTTAGAGCTTTCAGTAATAACAAACAGCACATTGTGGCATGCATGCCATAGGTTGACAATACTGGTTAGGCCATGCAAGAAAAATTGTAATGACTATGCTCTAACCAAATGAAAGTTGCATGCACAGAGAAAATTGATAAATGAGAAAGTATCACCTGTTTCCTCACCATTAAGCTGATAGCTAGAAATCAGTTGTGTTTTCAATCCATGTTACACTGGCTTCCTTTGTTTTATAAGAAAAGAGTAAAGCCATAGATGATAGGGTTTACTCAGACTTCCCAAACATGTGCAATAGCTGGTTCTACAAACCACCAAATAATACCCTTGTAAACCTGAATAGGACTGAACTCTCATGTACTGTAGAAATAATATTTCTTTCTTAAAAAACTTTACACATCAAGTTCTTTGCCTAGATGGGTTAATTTTTCAAAATTATTATGTAGTCACTAGAATGATCATTGGACAATACCAAATATGTAATCCCAAGTTAAACTGTATGATCATTTCCTACAATTATCAAGAAATTAAAATCAAATATAACAGAATATCAACTCTCATTAAATAAATTTTCAGATTTCTACTGCTGTAAAATGAGAAACTAACTTAAAATTACTTCAGGGATAATTCCATGTGTAGATACAATGCTATAAGTAAAGAAATGAACAGATTTTGAAAAAAAAAAGTTTACTTTTATCATGTGTCTAAATCTGCAAAATTACTATGGTAAAAGTAATGCAATGCTATCACCCAAATATATTATAGACACCACAGATAGATGATGTTTCTTCACCTGTGGTGAGTGCTACCTGGTGAAATGCATAATTTCTGCATATCTATCCTTGAAACTCTGGCTAGTTCTGGGGCAATAGAGAAGCAACAGAACTACAACAATGTATACCTCATTTATGTTTCCTGTAAGTTCTGCTTCAGAAATTTGAAGACAGTGCTAGTGGAATAATAATTTTCAAACTACCTGGGTAACCAAATCAAATATGTAGCTGACTAGCTATGATTTCATGTTAGTACATCATTACTTGGCACATTTATACAAGAAATGAGGATTTGGATTTTCCAAACACTTACATTAAGATTATAGTAAGCTATAGATGAGAATTTAGGAGAACCAGAATCAATGAATTAAAAAATATATGAATGTGATTCACATTTCTGTTACTGTGACACAATGATGTGGTCCTAAAACTGGTTTATCCTTGAGTGTTTACAACTCAAATAACTTTTTAATGCAATACTTTTTTTAAAGAAAATGAATTTTTATGTTGAAGTATTTCCTTAGAAGTAGTATTATTATAAACTTATATACCAAGAAGCTTTAGGGGAACTTTGTACATGTTCCTTTTTGCTGAGCAGATGGAGCTTGCTATGGTTGAATTTCAGAAAATTTTCTCATGTAACTATATATAGAACCAAGTCTTTAAAATTTCATTTATAATCATATTATTTACTCAGAGTTAAGTCTAAAAGTAAATTTTAGCTTAGAATCATATTCTGAGGCAGTAATTTTGGAAAAACTATTTTATAAAGGCAACCCCCATTGTACTTTGTAAGCAGTAGTTGAGAGAATATACAAGTTGTCCCAGTGAAACCATATAAGAATGCCCATAATGTGTAACTGAATTTTGGAGAATAAGCCACTATTGAAGGAAAGGTAGGTACATACCAAGAAGAGAGATTAAAATGTTGAATACCCAAGTAAAAAACACTGAAAGTATTTGAAGTGGTTCATAGATTACCAGTGTTTCAAATTGAGTCAAACATATCTTAAGTCTTTATACCTTTTGGCAGCTGAAATAAAGTGAAAGAAGCAATGAAATTTCATAGTGTGTTGTGTAATACACAACTGAAATGATATACCCACTTCATCTTGTGAGAGCAGCACCTTGAATCCCTAGCTTGTCACAGAAGTATTTAGGGGTACTTGCAAAACCCAATTTTACTAGCTCTAATTTGGTGCATAAAAGTGTTAATTTAGGTTTTCTTCCTCAAAAATATTGCACAAAGTAATAGACATTATTAGCATTATTTGCAAACCAGAAAATTTTGTATACACTACTTGGGTAAGAAAATTTTGAAGTGGCTGAGTTAATTAAAGTAAGGGTAACGTCTTAGGTGGAAACAGAAGCAATCATTAAAATGGTAATACCAGCTAAAGAGAATCACAATACTAATACACGCACACATAAACACATTGCAATGTACAATTATTTCTTCTTTTTTTGCCATCAGTTTTGAGATAAATTAACCACTTTTTTCTTCCAAGATTCATTTAGTTGAAACAGTACCCATAAAACTGGGAATAATATGATACATATGCAATGGGATATTTTAAGTATTTTTCAGTTTATTTCAAGAAATATGTTTAAGTCAATTTATATGTAATCTGTACTCTAAAAATATTGGAATAATCTTTGTTACTAATAATTTCTTCCCAAACTAATCACTTATTGTTCAATTTCTAAAAATAAAAATTCAAACTTACTGGTTGATGTCTTTATTGAAATATACTTTTTAATGATTTGTAGGTAAAATTCATTTGAAGACTATTCATTTCTTTAAATTTTATAAGAGTACATTGATTAGTAAATGGTGGAGGTTCTACCTAATGTTTATTAAGAATGCTGGCCATAGAATGGGTAAAAAAATCTTTCTGGCTACAGTGGTGAGATTAAAAGCTAAAATGTGTTTCTTTGGGGCTGGGCAGATGGCTCCATGGAATAAGCGCTTCTCTGGCAAGCACAAGGGCCTGAGTTCAATCCCCGGTTCCGCCAAAAACAAAACAAAACAAAACAAAAACCCACTTCCTTTAAATATAATGAGGCTTCATATAGGAACAGACACACATAGTTCAGATAAAAAGCGAACGTTGCTGCTACCTTCCCTGCCCCATATCTTGAAATCCAATGGAAAGAGGAAATAACCTATCCAAAGATGGGAGTAAGCCTTTGGATTTTCCTAACTTTGAAGAAAAGTTTTAGTGGAGTCTGATGCTGGAAAGCAATATGGCACATCCATGGCAGTTTTGTCAGGAAAAGCATTTTCACCCTTTGGGGCAATAAAAGAACAAAATTTCCCTCAAGAAATTTCTTAGCATAGAAGTGTTAAGAACTTGGTCCCACCAACTTTCTGTTCCTTTAGTATCTGCTGAGTAGGGCTCTAATATGTCAAGTGTAGCCCGATATTCAGGAACTGAGCTACTTGGGTGCATGAAGTTTATCTGTACATTCAGAAGTTAAAAAATACTTCATTACAAGAAAATGTAGCCTAATAGTTAGAACCCACTGACTTCAACTAATTTAAAGGACAGTATTACTAACTTAAAAAATTATTATGAATTACACTTAGCTTACACAGAAGTCCCAAAGCCAAGACAACATTAACCTGGGAACCTGTTAGTGAAGCATGGAAACAGGGTAAATTATGAGAAGTAATTAGCTGTTCATACCGTTATCGCTCATAATAGGAATGGTGGGTTTGTAGACATGAATACTGCAATGGTATTAAGTACATGGACTGCCAACACTGATTTACAATTTAAAACCACAGTATTTATTTTTTATGGAGTACAAATTACAATTAAAACCCAAAATCACAAATGATACATAATTTCACTGAACAAAATAATATGAATTTTCCATGTTCCTGGATAGGAAGAACCAACATCATGAATATGGCCATACTCCCAAAATTGTTATATAGATTCAATGTAATCCCAGTTAAAATACTATTATTACACCTCGCAGAGTTAGAGAAAACTTTCCTCATACTCATTTGGAACCAGAAGAGATGCAGAATATCAAAAACAGTCCTGGAAAACAAAGGCAGGAGTTATCAAAATCCCTGACCTGAAACTATACTACAAAGCTACTGTGATAAAATGAGCATGGTACTGGCAGGGAGACAGACCTGAGGATCAGTGGAAAAGATTAGAAGATGCAGAAACAACTGCAAACACACTCAGCCACTTTATCATTAATAAAAGTGGCCAAACGTGTTCCCTGGAAGAAAGATAGCCTCTTTAATAAATGGTGCTAGAAAAACTGGCTTACCACAAGCTGAAGGTTAAAACTAGACCCATGCGTATCACTGTGCAAAAAGCTACAATCAAAATTGATCAAAAATTTAAATATTAAAACAGAAACTTTAAATCTTCAAGAGGAAAGTGTAAGTAGAAATCTTAAAGACATGGATAGGTAGAGTTCACAGTTTTAATTTAGAGGGAATTTGCTCCTCACAAAAGTCTACTCCTTTTTCTGAAGACAATTAGGTAATTGACTGTAGCTCCTCTTTAATTCCAACAACTGAATTATGGTAGCTAATGAACTAAGGTGAACTATACATCAAGGGTATCGTCACATGCCATGTTTTATGGTTAAATAATGTAAACTAACTCAAAACTAATAGTACCTGGGAGAGTAGAAGGTGTTTTTCATGAATTTGTACTGTTACACACTGGGCCACAACCATAACTGGAGATAAATACAAAATCAGATTTCTTTTTCAAATTTTTATTAGTTCATCATTGTAGTACATAATGATTCCATTTCTCATGGGGAGTTGGTACATACACATATATATTCATTCTTTTTTTCATCCCTTTTCTCTCCCTTCCCATTGTTTCTTAATTCTCTTCCCTTTTGCAAAAGATTTATTTCTTATTACATAACTTATTTTGGTGATCATTTATATTTTGGGTTTGTCATATAAGAGCAACTACAATAATTGAACTTGTGTGTCTCATTTCACTTAATATCATGCTCTCAAGGTACA